GGCTATTGCCGCTCGCTCCTGACGTGGTCCCCGATCATCCTCCTGTGGTAGGTAGCCAGGAAGATGTCGTTGTCCCGGGGGCAGTCGTAGTGGCAGGAGCACACCTTGATGAACATCATCTTCCTGTGGAAGGAGTCTCCCTCGGGGCAGCGGAACTCCACGTCGGCCGTGCTGGTCAGCTCGGGGGTGCAGCACCGCCCGTCCCAGCAGCTCCCGCAGAACCGCGGCCGGTACGAGCGGGTGCTGGTGCACCCCGAGAACTCGAAGTGGAGGCTCTGGCGTGGCCTTGGGGTCCTCACACACTTCTTCCCTTTCTAGGGAGGGAGCGGGGGGGTTAGCACAGACAGGAAAAACACACCGAGGCCTCCGCTCCATCCCCATCGCCATGCGATGGGGCACAGGGACAGCGGGACCACGGAGCAAACCCCGTGAGCCAGCGCCTTTCCCAAGGTCTCCCCTGGCATTTGGGGAGCTGGGGCCCCCCCTCTCCCCAAGCCCCCTACCTTGGTTTTCTCCACGGGGAAGTCGCAGGGCCGGACCATGCAGAGCCGGGTCTCCTTCTCCAGGCGGCACCGGGGGTTGTCGTTGGTGACGCGGGCGGAGATGCCCATCCCGCAGCTCCGGGAGCACGCGCTCCACGCCGTGGTCTGCACCAGGCAGTTCTCCTGCAGGTTGTTCAGCTCGGGCTTCTGGGCTGGCTCCTCCCTGAACACTGAGCCGTGGGGAAGGGACACAAGGCGAGGCTCAGAGTTTGGGACAAAGCGTGGCAGCTCCACGGCTGCTCCCAGCCTGGTCTAACGCTGCAGGAGCAGCAGCAGAGGTCTGGCCCATCCCATGAGCTGCTCGGCCTCTCAGCAGGGGGAGGATGCAGGGAAGCACTTCCTACCACAGCACGGCACCAGCCAGCTGTGCTGTGACACCACAGAGCGCACACGGCATCACTGAGGTCTCACATCAGCGGCTCTGGTACCCACGTGCCAATACACAAAACCATGACCAGTTCCAAACCAGTCGCTGCCCCAGTGCACAGGTAGTTTGGACCCTCTCCTATTCCCCAGCAAACAGCTCCTGGCCCCATTCCAGGTACCCCAACTCACTGGTAGTTTGAATCCACCCCTCTCCCCCAGCTGATCTCTCCCGTTCCCATCCCACCCGCCCCGCTCACCCGCCATGGCCGTCCCGAGGTCATTGTCACTCTCCTCCTCACACACCCACTCCTCGCAGCACTTGTTGTGGACCCGGACCCTGCGGGGGCGGGGGCAGTCGGGGGACGGCAGGCGCAGGTCGTCGGAGCAGAGCGGGATGCAGCCCACGGCCCCGTCCAGGCAGATGCACTGCAGTTTGCACGTGGGCTGGAAGGTCTCCCCGTTCAGGTAGATCTTGCCCAGCAGGTCACACGTTGCGCCCTCGTGAGCTGTGGGAGGAGGAGGAGGAGGAGGGGAGAGGAAGAGCTGAGCAAGAGGCTGAAGTTCTGCCTCAGGAGGGGCAGAGCCCGCCCTGCCCTGCTCTGCCATCCCAGTGCTGCATGGTTTGATGTTTGCCTCCCTGGACTCAAAGGCTGCTCATGACATCCATTTTTTGGAACCACCAACCCTCCCAAAGCTCTCTAGAAAAATTTCTTCTCCATTTGGGTGAGCTACCAAGTGTGAGTTTGTCTTTACAGCCCGTTTGTCTTTGCAGTCTTTACAACCCCAGTCAGTGCCTGGTCAGTGGTGCCACATCCCTGACACGGCACACGAGCAGCAACTTTGCTCCTCGCTACTCCTGGCAGACCAAAAGGCAACGTTCTCCCAAGAGCAGCTGGTCCCCACGTGGCTGATGGCACCTACAAAGGAAATGACACTTTGGGTTGGTGACCTTCCTGGCCCCTCTGTGATGCACAAATCTCTTCTTCCTTCCAGCTCCAGCTTTTTCTAGTTCCCTCTCTTCTGATCTCCGTGTCTCTCATCTCCAGCCCTCCTACCAGTCTGTCCCTCCTCCCTAATAAAACCTGTTCATAAAAGGAAACACAACAATGTCTGACAGGGAGCAGCAAAACCTTCACTCTGCAACAACTTGTTATATCTGGCTTAGCCGAAAACTTTCCCAGTGGAAGTTTTCCAGCAGAAATCTCTTATTTGATCGAGATCAGGAATGGTTTCAATAGGAACCAACTGAAGCATTTCATTTTGATATCAAAAGTTTCCCTTATGCTCAACCAAAATACTCGTGGGACAGTGTCCATTGAGGGAAGTGTTTTGCTCTGGTAATTATTTTAGACACTGCAAAAGATCAAGATGAAATATTTTGATAAAATGGGAGCAGAAAATTTTGACACAGCCAAATGAGTATTCTAAATAAACCTTGGACAATTTTGAGGTTTTGGGGGGTTTTTTAAATATATAGATATTTAGACATATTTTTAATTTTTTTTTCTTTCAGCCTGAAATGAAATGTTGAAATCTCGGAGTCGTTCACAGGACAGAAATCCTGATTTTGGACAGTTCTCAGCAGCTGCTTCTTTCTGCAAAAAGAGCCATGCAAACCTCTATTGGGAAGTTACCAAAATGAAGGATTCTTGGCTGCTTGTGGAGGCTTCCCAGGAAACCTGATCTATTTTGCCCTTAGTCCTGCTCACCCGGGGGACACTGTGTCAGACAGAAAGTGTTTGGACTAAACAAGGATCAAGAGTCTCTTTCCATCCCATCCCTCGAGGGGACACAAATCCTTCCGGATTGTTCCAAACCGGAGCTGGATCTCGACTGGCAACTCTTTTCGATGCCGTTGGGATAAAAATACTCCTGTGCTCCAGCTTAGAAGTTTCAAAATCCTCACTTTTTCCACCGGAGTGGAAGCCATCCATCCACCCTCCCTCCACACAACCATTCAGGCTTATTTTTAAACCCTCTCTCCCTGTTTTTCAGCCCGAGCGCTCTCCTGTCCCGCTGAACGGACCGTGCTGTTCCCTCTCCTCTCTCCCTCCCTCACTCCAGGGGTTGATTATGTTTTCCAAACTCAGTGGTTCTGTCGTGCCCTTCATTACCCTCCCTGACCTCCCTTTCCCAATGACCTGATCCAGTTAAGAGGTGGTTCTTTATTCCCTGGCACTGCCCGACCCCAAACACCAACTCCAGCCAAGGAGACTTTTGCCCTTTCCCACAGGGAATATGGCAGGGCTCAGGGAGCCTTTCCAGGTCCCAACACCCACCCAGGCCACCCTAGCACTGGTAGGGACCCCACTCTAGAGTTACTTCAGGATTGTCTCTACCTTTCTGATACTCCAAGGTATCTGCAGGAAGAGAAGGATTCCTCTGCATTGAGTGGAATGTGATAACATTAAGCAAATACACAATAATTTTGCCTCTTTCACAACTCCAGCTGCCTGCCCTGCCTCCAAAATCTCCCCCTCTTCCAACAGATCCACGTGGACACCACAAGAACGTCACCCAAGGACCTTAGGGCCCAAATCCTCAGTTGATTTTTGGGAGATATCCTGGTCTGGGTTTGCTTTGGAGTTTTGCCATGAAAAGCTGAATTTCTCACTTAAAAGCAGGAAGGACAGTTGTGTCAGCAAGTGTGATTTCCCCCACAGCAGGAATGTGAGACTCTTACTCCAAAATGTTTGGATCAAACCTGTTAGGTCATGGTGAACACGAAGCACTGTTACCAGAAGGATGTCCAGGATGGGAGATTTGGAGATGGAGATTCCCCCAGTCCTGAGGGAATCACTCCTGTGATTTCACTGCCTTTCCTCCACAAACCCACAACTCATTCCCAGTGGGAATGATGCAGCCTGCAGTTCACACCTGCCGGGTGTTGTCACACCTACATTCACCTCATAAAGCTTCAATCCTCAGCTCTCAGGTGTCAATGCCTACAGAAAGTACCAGGAGCTCCCGTGGCTCCTACAGATCCCAAAAAAAACTGGGTGAGGGAAATGAAACAACTTATATAAACTTTTCAAAATAATAATAATAATAAAAAAAACTTCTACAAGTTAGATTCATCTGGACAAGGGCCTGAAGCTTCTGGCAGAGATGGGGCAGAGGAGTCTTGTTTTTAAGCAAAGAACAGGAGATTGAGGAAATACTTGCCTTTTTTTTTTTCCTCTTGACCAAAGTCATTTTTGCCTGTTTTAAAAAGAGCCACCAAATAAATAAAAAAATAAAATCAAAAAGAGTTTTCTTTTCTGGCTGAAAAGAGGCACGAGGAGAGAAAACAGTTCCTTGCCTTCGTGTTTACCTGGCTCAGGAATTTCCATGTTCCACATGGACACGATGCAGGGAAGGAGCTGTTCAGCTCTTCCCACCCACATATTCCAGCCAGAAACACGCTTTGGGAGCAGCCAGGTGCAGAACACCCATATCCAGTGCAAGGCAGGGGGGTTTGGGGTGGGATTTCCCAAGGAAAAATGCTTTCAGTAAGAGCCCAGATTGCTGATATTTACCCACGGGGATAAGAGGATGTGTCCTAAGGATGTCCCAGGACACAGGAGAGATCCACAGCCCCACTCATGCCTTGGGGGCTGCAGGAAGGAGCTGTGTGTGTGTGTGTGAGTGGATTTATTCTGGGAGGGGGCCACGGAAAACCACCCAAGAACAGAACATGCAGGTCTCACCTAAACAGATCCCGCTGCCTCTGTGGATCTTGGAGAAGTCGCAGTAGAGTCCCTTGTGGTGGTCGCAGGGTCTGTGCAGGGAGCAGAGCTCTCCCAGCTGCCTGGCACACACCTTGCAGCAGCCACAGGCATCCAGCACGTGGCTGGTGCCAGCAGGGCACTGCAGAGGCTGGGACGGACACTGGCATGGGAATGTGCAGGCCTGTGCTTCTCCCTGGAGGGCAAAAACCCACCGAGAGGATGAGTTCAGGCAGGGAAAGGGAAAACACGGCTCTGCCACAAGCACAGACACCCCAGAGAGAGGAGGGAGAGCCCAAGGACTCACAGGACTTTTCTAATCCCTCACTCATCTGGAGCTCAAGGGGGAAAAAAGATACCTCTGGGAAGCAAAGCCAAAACAAACAGGACAAGCAGTAGCTCGGAGTCCCCTGCACAGCTCACCCCCCTCCTCCCTGGAAGCAGTAACATAGTAATTATTAACAGAAAGCAATTCCAGCTCTTACACAGGACAAACATCAAAACCTCTGCAGCAGCAGCAGCAGCTATGGTTGAAGGGGGGTTTCCTGCTCTGGAAAATCCAGGATGTGTCCAATACCCCAGTCACTGAGTCTGAGCCACCCTTGTCCTGCATCAGCCTGGAGCAGCTACAGCAGCTCAGCTCTGGATGTGCCCAGACCTGAGAGATGTGACACCCTGACTGTGGACACTGTGGCCTCTAAAGATCCTCTGAAACCTCCTCAGTGCCAGCTCCAGCCTGGTTTTCTCTTCCTGCCCACTCAAGTCCCCCCCTTGCCCTGCTCCATCACCACTCCAACCTGCTCAGGCGCTGCTGCACGTGGCTCAGCTCCCACCCGGGGCTGACACAGTCTTTGCACGTGGATGATGCTGCCAAAACGCCCTGGGATCCTGCCCTGCTGTGACCTGGGTGGAGAGGGAGGCATCCAACTGGGCAAGACCCTCCCAGCTCCACTGGCAACCTGGGAGAGGGGCAGCCAAACTGGGAAGAGCCTGAGGGCAGGCAGGGTGGGAGACTCACACCTGGGACAGATGTCAGAGAATAAATTTCTCTTTCTTTGCAGCTCTGTTTGCACTTGTCACATCCCACCCAGCCCTCCCTCGGGAAACAGCCTCCTTGGATATTGTGTTTGTCACCAATAACAGCAGGAAAACTTTTCCAGCTGTTTTGGCTGTTGCTCTGACTTGAGCTCACGTGGGGTAGGAAGGTGCCAACTGCTCTGTACGGCTGGAACACCCAGCACAGCCCAGGGCAGGACTGGGACCGGGCTAAACCTTCCCTCAAAGGCATGGAATTATGGAATCATAGAGTATGCTGAGCTGGAAGGGACCCACGAAGATCATCCAGTCCAACCCTTGGCCCTGCAAAAACACCCCAAAAATGCCACCTTGTCCCTGAAAGGATCATCCAAAGCCTCCTGCAGCTCTGGCAGCCTTGGGGCTGTGCCCACTGCCCTGGGGAGCCTGTTCAGTGCCCAACCAGCCTGTGGGGGAAGAACCTTTCCCTGAGATCCCACCTAAACCACCTCAGACACAAATCCAGCCATTCCCTCTGGTGCTCCCGAGGGGGTGATTCAGGAATCAGCCTGATTCTCCTGGATCCCTCCTAGCAGGGAGAATTTGGGAGCCAAGCCGCTCCTGCCTGCAGCCCAGCTGTTCCCAGCCGGCAGTGCTGGCACGTCACGGGGATCAATTCCCAACCACTGAAGTTCATTAAAAGAACTAAAAATACAGAAATCCCCCCTACTGTTTTTCATGTAGGCAACTGCTGGAGCTGCCAAGGGACGTGTTATCCAGCCCAGGGTGAGTGGGTGGGGGGTATGTGAGCTCACACGAGGCAGAGCATTCCTGACACGGGATCTGTATTGAGATGCAACCCATGCACTTCAGAAAAAAAAAAATAATGGCAACAAGCATTTTCCAGTGCAGTGTCAGCCACAGGCCATAGAAAGAAACACTCCCAAAATAGCTCTCCTGCTGAAATCCAAACCAAAACAACCTCTTTTGGGGTGACAGAACACAGAGGGATTAAACCCATCCCTGGAAGTGTTCAAGGCCAGGTTGGATGGGGCTTGAAGCAACCTGGGACAGTGGAAGGTATCCCTGCCCGTGGCAGGGGGTTGGACAAGATGGTCTTTCTGTTCCTTTCCAGCCCAAACCATTCCATGATTCCAGGAGTTCTCTTCCTTGCCCTCATTAATCCTTGATGGTTCTGGTGATTTCCTTGATAACTCACCCACACAAACCACCCCACCTGGTTTCACCTTCAGCTCCCAGCAGCTTCACTCCCTCCCTGTATCACGGCTGCTTTCAGGGTGTCTGGATTCAGATCTCTGGCTTGTCAGAGACCTGCTGGGTGACCCTGCTCCCCCCTCTGCTCTGCCTCATTTCCCTCAGCTCAACCCCCCAGTCCATCCTGGTTTTCAGGGCTCTTTCCAACACTCCAAGACATTCCCACCAGTCAGCTCGGAATTGCCTCCCTCCATCACCCAGGGGGTGTTGGGGCTCCTGTTTGCTGGTTTTATTGCAGAGCAAAGTCAGCCCGTGCTATTTATAACTCCTGCTGCTCTCCCAGGTCCAGGAGAGGAGGGAATGAGCTGGAATTGGGTTTGGCTCACACACCCCCTGGCCTGGCCAGGGGAACCTCTGGAGCTGGGAACAGCTGGGAGAAAGTCAGTACTGAACCAACCTCCTGAGTCTTCTGTTACTCAATTCTCTTTCACATAGGCTAACTAGTGGATTTTATTGGGATTCCACCTGCATTCTTTCCTAGGACTGCTTCTAGGAGTTGTTTCAATACAGGGTGGAAACTGCCCAAAGAACTGCCCCAAAGAACTGCCCAAACTGTCCCCAGGAACTGCCAGGACTGGAATTAGGGGCTTTGCTGCAGACCCAAACGTAACACAAAGCCCAGCATCTCCACATAACCTGCCACTGACCCGTCCAGAGGGATTCAACTCAGGGAACATTTCATTTTCTTCCCTCTGCAGAAGGGGCTGCCCCAAAACTCACTTTTGCTCTCACTGAGCAGGATCCTGATTTCAGGATCACTGCAGCCTTGCCCTTGTTTTCTGTTGAGGTTGGCAGAGCACTTCTGTGAAGTCTGAGAGCAGCAGAACACAACCAGCCTCAGGGATCGAGGCTGTGCAGTTTAGTTCTAAAGCCTGGAATATCAGCTCTCCCTGCTGCTGGCTTTGCTGGCACCTCTTGCATCCATCACAAACACTGTGTGAGAAGCTGTGGGACTCCCAGGACTCCTGAGTGATGGCCAACATGGGAGTGCCAACACTTGGATAGAGGATTCCCTTGCCTCTGCTCTGTCGTATTCTCCACCTCTGACTTGCGGGTCCCATCGCAGCTGACAAGCCAGAACAAGCTCCCTCCCAACTGCCAGCACCAAACCCAGCTACTTGGGGGTGAGAAAGAAGGAGAACCTTCTTCCTGCTTCAGATTCACATAAAAACTCTTCCTCTGCACCCTAAGGAGGGCAAAAAGTTGGGGACAAGAGCTCCCACCAGGTCTGTGGCACCCTCAGGATTTCTCCTTCCTCATCAAGGTCCACAGGAGCCCAGGGAGCCAGCTGAGGGAGCCAAACCTAAGAGGACTTTTAAAGTTTCCTTGGGCTCATGACTGCACTCAGAGGGCTGGGAAAGGAGAGTTTTGAGCCTAGCCAGGGGTTAATGCTGCAAGGTAGAGGTGAGACAATAAATACCCAACTAGTTCTCCTTGTGCTCCAAGACTGGCAGTAGAGAAAGCAGCCAAAGCACAGCTGTCCATCCTCCAAAACATGGGATTATTGTGGATAAATCCCTGCTCTCCCTCTATCACAGGCTCTCAAGGCACCTTCCCAAGGCTGTTGCAGCACTTTGTACAACAACCCACAAGGGGAGACAAGAAACAGTGACCCCATTCCCAGTGGGGACACAGAGACCTGCCCAGGCTGAGCCTAAACATAACTCCCAGAAACCCTGGAACTACTCCCACTTCTGAACAACACAGCAGGCAGATCCAGGAGTAACAGCGCTCGTTTACTGCCTTGATCCACCAAAAAAAAAAAAAAAAATCACAGATTCATTTAGTTTGGAAAAGACCTTTATGGTCATTGAGTCCAACCTCATGTTCAGAGCCCAAAGAGAGGTAAAACTCCCATTTCTGAGGCAGGTTTAGGGAGAATGACACATCTCAGAGTGATATTTGAGGGTCACAGCAGTGGGATTCACGGTTATTGTTTATATGACAAACACGATGCTGCCAAAGATGAGCCAGTGCAAGAACCCAAATGGCAGCAGTTACCCTCAGATCACACCCCAGGGCACATTCCTGGCAGGAAAGGGGCTGGCACACTCCAAGTGCTGCCAAGAGCATCCAACAGAGCTCACCAACCAGGAGTTTATTGCCTCTCTCAGCACAACAAGCCCTGCAAGTGCTTCCGTGAACCCGATTTCCTGATGAATCCAAAAGGTACTTCCAACAATTTAGAGCCATTAATGACTGCTGGGACCTTCCTGCCAGTCCTGGCACGGGAACAGCACACAAACATCCTAAGAGGAATCAGCTGCTCTGTCAGGCACTTGTATTAACAGGAAAACAGGCACAAATCCTGCTCTGCAGTCCAATTTTCCCCTGGGGATCACTGGTTTTGGGAGCACATGGGTGGGTTCTGTGGCAGCTAGGGAAGGATGGGGACGGTAAGGAACTGGGATATGAGACTGTATTCCTTGCAGTGACACAAACTCAGTGACTGACTTTTCCCTCTCTCTGTTCTCTTCTCCCCCTCGTAAACCAGGGCTGGCCTTTGACTGCCGGGAGGGGGACGAAACAAAACCCATTCCCACGTGCCAGGAGCCCCGAGATCCGTGGATGACTCGCGTTACAGGGGGCAGCTCCAAGCCCGGTTTAATTACACAGCTCGCTGGCGTCGCTCTGCTCCCAGCCCAGCTTCCCTGGGAAACTTGGGAGCAGGTGGGAAGAGTTTCCCAGCCCAAAGCCCTCTCATGAATCCAAGCAAGAAGCTGCAGAGCCCGGGCAGAGCTGTACGTACCCAGCCAGGGGCGAGGAGCAGCAGGAACACGGTCCGGGTCACTGTCCCCAAGTTTCCAGACATGCCGAGCACTGGGAAGGGATCCAGGCTGCCGACCGACTCCCGCTCGTTCGGAGTTTCCCGTCCTTTTGGAGCAAGTTGCACATCAGCTTCTCCTTAAATATCCTCTGGAGGGGGCGGGCCCCGCGCTGAGAGACGGGCTTGGAACCGAGCCCGGAGGGGTGCAACAAAAACTGCCCAAATTCCAGGGAACGCGAGCGGATTCCTGCGGCACCCGCGGTTACGGGGCTGCCACTGCTGCCCGCAGCCAGGTTACCTTCCAGGCGGGGAAATCAAACCCCGCTAAAAGCAGGGTTATTCTGTTTTCATTTTTCACCTCTTCCCAGCTCCCGGAGTAGGAATCCTGGCACGGCCTCGCTGTCAGAGCCCCCCTTTCCCCGCCTGCAGCCGTTCCTGTTCGGCTGCAGGAGCTGAGGGGTGAATAAGCAGAGATTTGCGGGGCTCGGTGTTGGAGCAGGAGGGAGGGATGGGAAGTTTGGAGCCGTCAGGTGTCACCTCTGTCCCTGCATCGCTTGTGATTCCAGCTCCCAGAAATTAGACTTTCATCCCTAGAACTCCTGCACGAGGCGTGCTTGTAAAACTCCTGCGTGTTTTTACAAGGACACGAAAAGGTTTGGTAAAGGATGAAGAGGTTTGATAAAGTGCAGCAATTCCCTAAAGTGCTTTGTTTGTGCCTCGGGACTGATGCAGGATCTCACACATCTTTGCTTTGGGGCATCATCCTTCCTGCTTGCTGCTGAAATCCAGCACCAGGCTTCTCTACACACCTGTGGGATATGAGGGAGTTGTTTTGGGTATTAAAGAGTCGTTTTGTTTATTCCCAAAGAGGAAGCGGAGCGCTGCAGTGGGAGGAGGAGGAGGAGGAGTGCAGCAGAGGGCACTCTTAGCCCTCGCTGGCCGGGGGTGGGACAGAGCAGGTCGGGTACCGGACAGGAGCCTGAGAAAGATGGAGCTGTGGCTTAGTCAGGGAGCATCCCCTGGGAGAAGTGGTGCAAGGCCTGGTACTCCTTTGGGGCCAGGAGAAAGCCGGGGCTGGGGCCCAGGCGCTGTCCCACAGAGCCCAGCACATCCCAGCTCACTGCTGGGAAGCAGGACAAGAAATGAGGGAGAGTAGTAGGTCATGAAATCATGGAATCACGGATCTCCTGAGCTGGAAGGGACCCATCCGGATCATCGAGTCCAGCTCCTGGCCCTGCACAGACACCCCAGCAATCCCACCCTGTCCCTCAGAGCATTGTCCAAACACTTCTTGAACTCAGACAGGCTTGGTACTGTGACCCCTTCCTTGGGGAGCCTGTTCAGTGCTCAACCAGCCTTTGGATGGAAAACCTTTCCTGAGATCCAGCTTAAACCTCCCCTGACTCAGCTTCATGTCGTTAATTTAAATTACTTTAACTTAATTTAAATTTTAATTCATGCCATCATTTACATTCAGCCTCCTTCCTGTCTCCTCCGAGGGTAGGGCAGTTTAGCTGGGAATCAAGCCCTGAATTTCATCCAGGTCCTGTCGGGTCCCTGTGCAACAAGATCAGCATCCACACACTCCCTGCGTGTCCAAACTGACAATTCTGACTCTTAACTAATTAGCACTTGGAAAGCCCCTTGGGATATTTGGGGCTGGAGAGCATCAGCACAGTGCAAACCACCCTGGAGGCACCTTCTTCTCCCCTTCCATAAGAGGGATTTTCACAATCACTTCCATAACAGCCACTTCTGCCCACAAAAGGTTTCATGTTCTGGAGGTGGCACAAACACCCAGTGCCCTCAGGCAGCCTGGAGCTCCAGGCAGTCTGGCTGGAGATACATTCCTTCCCCTCTTGGAGGGCTTGGCACCCTGACCCATGCTGTCACCTAAAATTAGCTGCTCACATTTCCCAGGACGTTCTCCCGCTGCTTGTAAATAAGGCAGGGATGAAGGGCTGCACACCTCGGTCCTCATCCTCTCACACTGCAGGAATATAAACCCCAGCTGAATTCTGAGCCCTCCAGGGTGCCTGGAGATGACACATTTGTGGGTTTTTAGGAGGATCATCACCCTGTGTGATGTGTGGCTCAATCTGTTGCTCCTTGTCCAAGAATGAGACATTCCCCTTTCTCCAGTGACAGGACAAGGGGGATTGGCTTCAGCTGAAAGAGGGCAGGGTTAGATGGGATATCGGGAAGAAATTGTTCCCTGGGAGGGTGGGCAGGCCCTGGCACAGGTTGCCCAGAGAAGCTGGGGCTGCCCCATCCCTGGAAGTGTCCAAGGCCAGGTTGGAGCAACCTGTGAGAGTAGAAGATGTCCCTGCCCATGGCAGGGTGGGGGAACTGGATGGGCTTTAAGGTCCCTTCACACCCAAACCATTCCATGATTCTATAAGGAGCAGCAGCTGCACCTTGAACCATGATCCTCCAAACTGTGCTTTAACTCAAACCTGCTGTGTGCCCTGGGATGAACTGTGCAACCACCCACCTGTCAGGAGTTCTGCTGGGAACATTCAGCACTAAGCCAGCATTTTGATGGCTGATCGGGTTTTCAGTTTACAACAGAAGGATAATTTGATTATAAAACATCCTTTCCAAGCTGCTCATCATCATCATCGTCATCCACCTGAATGCTTCCACCTTCCCAGAGCAGTAAAACATATTGAGTCCAGTCCTGCTCATCCTTCAACCCACCTTGGCTCTTGGAGTGTAGGAGCAGTAGGATGTGAAGAGGAAGCATCAGCTGGAGATCCCTGGATTTTGGGTGCTCCCTACACCCAAATTCCAAGATCTTCTTAGGGCACTGGGACAACCAAAACTACCCCTCATGTGAGGAGCTGAACTGTTCATCCCACTGGACATACCAAGAGGGAAGAAGAAGAACATGAAGGTTGAGTGACTCAGAATGATCAAAGGCAGGAAACACCCAAGTTAGCACCGATTTGTATCTCCTCCTTTTGCCTGAGCTGCCTCAAGTGAAGGGATAAAGATGTCAACCCTGCTTAAAATCTCCCCCAAGCAAAGCATAGTGGGTGTTTAATTCACCTTGTTGCGTTCTTCTGGGTTCACTCACCCTGCCCAACCGGCAGCTTCCCTGGATTCACAGTAATTAAAATAGAAGACATTGAGATAATTGCTAAAAATCGTGTCAGGCCAAGGAATAAAATGAGGGCAAGCACACACACAGTTTTTTTGGCTCGGTGGGATCTCCCCCTGCCTGCAGTGTTTTGGGGCTCCATGTCATTCCCAGAGAATTAACAGCTGAGAAGGTCTCTTCCAGACCCAGGTTGGAGTTCAAGTCCAGCACTAATTCAGTGTCTGTCAAGAGGGACATTTAAGGTCAGATTCCTGCTGTCTAATTCACAGGCAATTAATTAAGGCATCTCCACTAGAAGCCTAATCTCTCCAGGCTCCCAATAATCAATGGGGAAGGGCTGGAGCTCCTAAAATTCCTTCTGAGGGTTCCTCCCTGTGTATCAGCTGTGTCACCATGTCCGTGGCTGTAAATTGTCAGATGAAAATGTCACAGAAATGCAGCACCAGAGCTCAGCAAAGGCCCAGTTCCACACCTTGTCCAACTCCAATCAGGGCGTGAAGGCTTCCCTGCCCTAGGGATGGAAAGGGCAGGGGAAACCACCCCTCCTCACTCCAGCACAGCCCTGGGGTGAAATCCTGACTGCAGGGAAACACCCTCTGGCTCCAGCAGAGCTGAGATTCCCTCTGCTTGCCAGACACACAGCCCTGAGGCCACTCTGCTGTGCCCACAGGATGTCAGGGTGGGGACAACTTCTGTCCCTGGCTGCAGAGTTCACTTGTGAAATCCACAGTTATATTAGTTCTGGGAGGAACACCCTGCTGTATTTGAGGATTTATTGTGACATCCAAGTCTATCAAGGGATGTGACACTTGGGGTGGGTGAGGTGCCTGCTGATGTCCTTGTATAGGAAGTAAATATATTAAGAGTCTTGGCACCACGAGTTTGGAAAGAGCCAGTGCTCAGACACAGAGCTGGCCAGGAAAAAGCAGACATTCTCTTCTAGGAGGAAAAAAAAAAATAACAAAAAAATGAATGCCCCCTTTGGAGGATGCAAAAATCCAGGTCTGCAGCACCAGAGGGTGCAGCCAAGGGCACCCAAGGAAAAGACACCCAAACTCAAGGGATACTCATTTCAGATCGGGGCAGAGGTGACAAACAACCCTTCCAAGGACATCCCTGCAGCAGGGCCGCGGTGTGACAGCAGGTGATCTCCTGAGACCCTCAACAACCGCAAAGCCTGGGTGTTCAGATGCGACTGTGAGTCACCGTCGTGGCCAGGAGCGTTTGTGCCGAGGCACGGGCTTGCACAGAACCGCAGGAGGAACAGGCCCCGGGAGGAAACAGCTGCACCCACCTGTGAAATGGATGCTTCCTCGGGTTTTTCCACTTCTTAACTTGCTGCATGCTTAATTATCCTGAAGGAAAACTGCAGGGAGGGAGGGCGTGTTTAAGGTGGACTCGGGCAGGGTCATTTAAGGAGGTGCCTGTGCCACGGGACTGCTCTGATGGCTCAGACCAGCACCCTGTGCCTCCCGGGGTTTGGTCCTCACCACCTGCACAGAAGGATGTGCTGAAGGTGACAAGGCTTGGGAAGGAGAAGGGACTGAGGGAGGTCCCTCTATTTATGGGATATGGCGTCACACTGGTGGTTCTGCCTGCAAATAGTGCATTTTCTCATCCCATTTTATGGGATCTGCCACCCCCTGAAGGAGCAGCTGCCCTGCCACGATGGCCACGAGCTTCCCTCAGTGCCTGTGTCTGCACAGCTGCATCCAAGAGGGTTGCAAAGGGGGATTCTCCTCCGGATCCCACCTCTCCAAGGACCTCTGGCACCACCTGTGCCCTAAAATCCAGGACTCTGACAAAGCAGCTCTGCTGAAATCCGTCGTTCTTCCCTGATTCCCTGCACATCTCATCAGCCTCAACAGGCAGCAACAGGTCCCTGAGCTCTGCCAGGCTGGGAGGACCTGGAGGGCTGGGTGGCCTACCAGGACTGGTGTGTAGCTCTCATTAGGGATTTGGGATTCCAACAGGAGCCTGCCCACACCTTTCCCATTCAGGTTTTGGAACAATTCCAGCTCATTACGTGGAATCAGTGAATAATGCAGGTTGGAAGGACCCTCGGGTGCTCCTGCAGCCCCTCCCAACACAGAGGGTAGAGAAGAGGGGGAGATTTTAGAGACCAAGAGAGAAGGGCAGGTCAGTGGGGTCCCCAAATTCATCCAGGCAGTTCTCCTGCCAGCCTAAGGAATCTCAGCACAGGAATCCTTGAGGAGCTTCCAGCCCCCAGGGGCTGTGACTGTGATCCAGCATTGCAGAGGGCTGGCTCCTTTGGAGAGGCAGGGAATTCTCCCAGCTGAGGGGATTGTTAACCTTGGAATGTGGCACAGTCACCTCCAAAATTAGCTGTAAAGCTGCTGATTAAATAACTGCACAAACTAAGTTACAAACACATTAAAAATGAAGTGGGAAATGTTAAGTGTGAGATTTTCATTTAAATGTTCTTGGTTCCTTTTCTTTTTGTTACAGGCACACATCTTTGAGGCTGATCTTCCTTCTTTTCTTCCCTTTGTTTCCTTACTAAGAGGTATTTCGGAAGTTTCACATCACAAATTATATAGGAAAAGACAAGTCTCAAGCTCCATGAAGAGCCTTGTTCTAGGAATGATGGAATTTTACACACACTGATAAGGAAATCGTCTGTGTTTGGAGCCATCTTTGCCTTCAGACAGGACCAAACTCACCCAAGCTGAGGAA